CCCCCCCCCCCCTCCGCTCATAGGGAGTGCGTACAGTTGATCATAGTTCCTGGGCTCCCTGTGGTACAACAAAAAAGACGAACAAGCGTGTATTATTAACTTACTAATGAACGTGATTGCAATTGTAACACATACTAACCTTGCCAGAATGACCTGTGTGGTATCCTGTTATGCCTGCCAGATCACACATTCTCGACGAATATTGGCATAGAGTATTAATCCCGATCTTTTGCTTATAATGTTTCAATGTCCCACCCGTTGCTGACACAGGGGAGTAGGTAAAATGGTCCAGATGGGGGGGGGGGGCAATTGTCAGTAGTTTAACACACAACGCGGATTTTTAGGATTACTATACTGGCGAATGTTTTCAATTTCGGGAGTATACTCAGAGTCGAAGACGTCCAAATAGGTGTCCATGCTGAAGTAATGCCGGAGTGGGAATAAATGACATGCTCGTGTTTTGCCGCACAAATTACAGACTGATCCACCTGGGTATGTGTAGTCAGTCTGTGGACCAATCAGTCATTGCATTACATCACTAAGTACCAATGCATTACATCATTAAGTACAATTAGAAGAAATAAATGCATACCCAGATGTAGGGCGATGGCTAATTCATATGCAGATCCATATTGGTCGACCACCGAATAACATCGCAAAACCGTGGATATTTTTTTATTTGTATTCCCATTTCCTCTTATTTCGTGGTACAAGTCGGTAATCGACTCGTAGGTTTACAATTTTAAACTTTAGAATTGTAAACCTACTCGAACCCGTACAATTACCTATACTTAGTATAGCAACGGCCGATACGCGGGAACTAGAAAGCGGAGTTACAAGGAACGGCGCTAGACGAACCTGAGAGGAAACGCACCCAAACCAAGGTCATGCTCGGTAAGGCTTGTAGGTCAACAGTGACTACTCTTGATTGGCTGGCAGGTTGCCTAGCGGAGATTTCTAAAAATAGGAAGACTAGGCAAGAAGGAGAAAGGAAAAGTACCGTTGCGTTGGAAGATGGCCACGTGTGGGACGTAACTTGAGTTCTCTCGAAAACACACTGGACATGCTATCGTTTGAACACTGGTTGCTGTAAGTGAGACCGGACTTTGATGATCAGTCGTCGGAAGGTGCGGTGCTGCTGATGTTGACAGCGTTGGAGAAGAATTGTCGTTGGGACGTGTGCCAACATTGAAGTGGAATTGTCGTCGGGGACGTGTGTTATTGTCTACGTTGAATTGCGTGCATCGTTTGCAACGGCAGGGCTATCGACATTCACGGATACGTCGAGTTGTACCAGTTCATTGAAGGTCGGGTAAGCGTGGCAT